TTTAAATCATTAATTTTTTTATCAAATTCGCAATAGCAACTCTAAAAATTCCTATACTATAAATTTTATCAAAATAAATTAAAGTAAATAATTGCCATTTTGCTATTTGGATTTTGAAATGCTGATATTAGATTCGTAATTAGTAACCACAAAGTCTATTGCATTATAAATTTGATTAAAAAATTAAATTCGCTCTGCCGAATTTTTAAGTTCTGATATCAGTTTCGTAACCAACAATCCCAAAATTCCTAATTTTATAAATCGTGTCCAGATATACAAAATTTAAACATTTTCGTTTCACCATAATGGATCTGCTAGTTTGACTCTTTTAATGCTAATATCAGATTCGTAATCAACGACCCCAAAAATGGTTCCATTCATCCTACATATAGCGTTTGTATCTCATGTATGTTTCTGTAAAAGTTCGTAACTCACAGAGTTAAAATAATATCTACTAAGCCAGTTTTTTCAAAAATATTTCAAATCACTTTTTTCTCAATTTTAATAATAAAAACTACTCTGTCCCATAGGACCTACTGCTTATTGAAGGAGTGCTCCGGATATTTGTCCATCGATTCCATTTCCCATTTAGACAACGTGCATACTCTGAAGCTTCTGGTGGAACAGCAACGAGGAATCGTGGCTCCGTTATTAGTCAGACCGTACAGAATGTGGAGCAATTTCTGGGGCGCAATAATGGACGACGGGTTCTACGCGCGAAGCTTCGATTACATGGACATCGTGAAAAACGAGCGCAGGTAAAACATTGTTCAATATAACTATACATATAATTGCATTTATTTCAGTTACGGGTACATCTCGTTTAAAATACTAATCGCTAGATTTTGCATGTTTATAGGAAATCGTTTAAGTGACCTTATAGGAAAGTTTATATATCAAAATCATTCTAATAAATTAACGATTATTAATAATTGGCATATTCAATTGATTGCGGATTTTATGCAGTTAAAATTGAGTATCTGCCGAGAACATAATCAAAATCAAAAGCTGATTGGATATTGGAAAAAACGTTAAACGACATCCTAGAGGTAGAAATCTTGAACGTGCTACGATTCGATCGGACTACTTATAGTTATTCTCGTTAGTGGTCTAAAAACTAGAAACTTAATCGAAAGCGATGGAGAAGTCAGTCTTGAACGATCTTCTATCGATGCTGTACATATTGTCGGCCATGCACTCGTAAACGCCGGCGTCCATTTGCGTCGCGGGGTCAATCTCCAGCTTGGATTTCACCCTGTCGTCCCCGATTTGCCATTCGTGCGTCTTCGCATGATAAACAGACATTAAACGGTTCAGTTCGATTAGGAAAATAATCTGATTCAAGTATTTAGGTAATTAAATCATTTTCACTGACGTGCATGTAAAGATGCGTATAGATCTCCGAGCCGTCCTTGTACCATGTGATATGCGGCCGTGGGTTTCCACGCGCGATGCAGAGGAAAGCGATCTTGTGTCCCAGGACGTACTCCAAGTCGAAGTGCGATGCGAGAATTATTTTCGCTCCCTGAGAATATAGGTAAATGAAAACCGAATCAAGGCCGGACTTTTAGTTTTCGTGTTCTACGTACGTTATGATTGTTGTAATACTGATCGCTCTCCGGGTCGCGATATTTTCCAGTGATCGGCAGTCCTATTTGAACTCGCGATTTGGTTTTACCTCTGTTTCGCCCCCTCCGACCGAGTGTCTGCTGACCGGTGAGCATCAGAACGAGCAACAGAAACAGCATCACCGTGGGCCGCGGCATAACTGAATTGCGATCAGACTTTTCAGTAATTCTGCGTGGATGAATAGTGCGGTTGACTGAGTAACGGGCGACGTACGACAATCGCACGGAACTCCGTTGTAACTAACCAGCCAACTACTCGTCGTTACTCCCCTAGCGTTCTCTCTCCTATCCATTACAAATATATAGGCAGTTATAGTTGAACTACGCATATTACGCGGTACGTGCGCTGGTTACTCCTTTGACACCTATTCCAACTCGGTCATACGAATTCCGAATGGCCCGCATTATCATTAGAGTCCCAAGGTTGGGACGAGGGTAGGAGGCGAAGTTAATGGAATTGAACACGTCGTTCTTAGAACCGTCAGCGATTCTGTTTGACACGGGATAATTGCAAATTTATTTGAACGATTCGTGACGCGGTAGTTGCAATCGCTCCATGGTTCACAGACGCGGCACCCTTATCAGAATCAATTGCGACTTAATGAACAAGAGTTGGGGGAGCCACGAGTTTTTAAATGCATCTTTCTGCGTCGATGTTCTTACGGAAATTGCGTTCCTTCTGAACAACCGATATAGTGTACTTTAAAGAGAAATGAAACTCGTAAATCATTTCTTATGTACAGTATTCTTCTGGTAAATATGAAATTGTTAGGACTTAAAAGACACTCTTATCGTGTAGGTGCTAGGTTTTGATGTTGATATTATATTTTGCTCCACGCCACGAAAGTAAAAAGAATTAAAAAAATTCTCATTTGTTCTACTAGAATAGTAGTACAACTCTGAATTTTTTCATCAATTTCCATTCAATATAATCAGAAAAATTAAATCTCCAAAAATGTCGGAAGAGATACCTCTTTGAGTCTGATAATTCTTTGAAATTTGCAAACTTTATAAATTTTTATTTAATATAAATAATAGATCGATTGATTTAGGAAAATTCTCACTTGTACTACTCGTATAGTAGTACAACTCTGAATTTTTTCATCAATTTCCATTCAATAGAATCTGAGGAATTAAATCCTCAAAAATGTAGAAAACCGTTTCAAGTGATACCTCTTCAAATCTGGAAAGTTAGAACGTAAACCATTGAAACAACAAATATAGTTCTATTAGACCATAGCGTATTCTCTTCGAACAACTTAAAGTTCGCTAAATAATTAAATGAATTAAATGTATGATTTTCATTTATAAAATGGGCCAATATTCCAATTACACCTTCGAAATAGTAATGTCTGTTTGTAAGGCTTCAAATTCGATTGTAAATCTGTACACTTGAACCAGATAAGTTGCAGGCTAATCGAATTTACGGAATTAATAAGAGATCATGACATAATCCGTTCGAAAGCCACGGCGATCCACCGAGTATTGATTGTCCGCCTGGCACTCGTAATAACCGGCGTCTTTTTGCGTTGCAGGGTCGATCTCCATTTTCGACTTCAACGTGTCGTTACCCACCGGCCATTCGTGCACCTACGAACCCTCGACCGTTCAGTCTCTTGAACTTCTTTAAAGGAAATTCTCTAACCGAAGAATACCTGGAAGAATTTATGATGATACATCTCGATGCCATCTTTCAGCCAGGTGATCTCGGGTCGCGGGAACCCGGTGGCCATGCAGACGAAAGTGATCTTTCTTCCCAGCATATAGTCAAACTCAAAGTGGGACGCTTTTACAATTTTCGCTCCCTGGAAACATTTGAGGGGACTCAATAGCGTATTTGGTTCGCGTTCCGCTCACCTATATTGCACTCACGTCTTTGTTCTCGTAATAATTGGCGCTGGCAGGATTCCGATTAGGGATCAGGATTGGCATCCGGGACTTGTAAACTCTTCCGGTGCCGCGTCTGCTGCCTCCTCCTCTCCCGCCACCTCTCGCCGCGTCTGCGGCCACTAGCAAAACGGTGAAAAAGAACAGACACGCTAGTCGACATGTCTTCATTTGCTCGACACGATTCAGGAGTCGCGTGCCCGGGTGTAAACTGTTGTTAGACGACGGCGAACGGATAACCCACTTCACGTAGGCTAGACGTGACTCGCGCTTGGCAAATCGCGGACACTAGGCCAATTTTTGATGCACTTCTATAGGATAATCGGTCGACTGGATAGTTTTGGTTCACTCGGATTCTGAATCAGGTCTCGGGGACGGTAGCGTTGCGCCAAATAGACAAGCCGAATCTTTCGGCTTCGGCTGTCCCTACTGCCTAAAATACGACTATGCTCGATGGGCATGCCGTCACACTTGCGACACAGTTATGAATCTCAATTGGATAATTATGCACAACCCATTGCCACTATGTTCCACGACCAATCACGCCCTCACAGTGATTGCCTTACAAAATATTGTCTCGCGAGTCTAACAAACAAGTTGTGCCGCCGGGGCTACCCTTTCTGCCATTATCATTCTGCGTCTCAGTTGGCCTTCAGATCTGGCTCTGAGAATTGCAGGCCGATCGGTTACCCACGTGTATACCGTCGTACGAACGTGCGACGAATCGTTTGAAAAGCGATTCGCGAGAATAAATGAATTGGCTTCTGGGATGTTTCAGGGGACTGTGGAACGTGCCGTTCATCAGCAGCTGTTACTTGATCAACGCGACGTTACTTGGAAATCCGAAAACGCGGCCGTCCTACGTCGAGGACGACCTGGACACGGACATGGCGTTCGCTTACACGAACAGGGAACGAGCTATTTTCATGTACGTGAGCAACAGGCTAGACTTCGGGCACCTCGTCAACCCGGACAGCTACGACGTCACCGTGACCCATCCGGATTTGTATCAGATAATTGATAACAAGCTGGACTGGGAGAAGAAGTACATACACGAAAACTACTCGGAGAATTTTAATCCCAATAAAACTCCCATTCAGGTAAGTGTCATCGATAAAATTTCACCTCAAGTTAAAAAATATGCAAGATTTAATTGTTTTTATTTACTTATTCCATGCCTTTTGGCTTTGAGCGACTTCTGCCATTCTTCTGTTGGAAGTACAAATAAGATTCCACCGTTTTTTATCTTAAATTGGGCATTTATTGCGAAAGAACGGTAGCTTATGTTTTATTCAAAGTAAGGTAAAGGAAGTAGTACTGGGACAAAACGAATTTTGGAACCAGTACTTGGAGATAATAGATATGTATGTAATAATTTACTGTCCAAGTTTACAATCCAATTTGAAACTTAATACGTAGAAGTGGGACTAGACGGCAGTGGCTGTCCAGGTTTAGCCCCTCACTAATTAATCGCGCTGCAATACCTGGATAAATTCGGATCTGGTATAAAAGGCATTCAAACGTATGATATATTTTTCACAATAAATGATTTAGTGTATTTTCATAACTTTTCAACCCTTTCTCTTAATCCAACTGTTTCTCAATTCGCTTAGAGGCGTCATAATAATATTGTCCCAGTTCTGATTCCATACTTGTCCTACTACACCACTCGTTCAGATTAAATGTGTCCTACTACTGCGGTTGACAGCAATTTTTTTTTAATGCGATTATTTTAATACATATATTACAAAAGAAGGTTTTTTTTTCTTAAATATGACTATGAGATCCCAGCTATCTGCTAAGATGATAAGTTTTCATGTACTATGCTTAAATTTCGTAGTAAAAAAACATTATAAAAAATTTATGTTCAAAAGTGTCCAGGTACTACCTCCTTTACCTTATTGTCCATCGCTGGCCACTACTTTTTCCCATCTTTCTGGCAGCATTCCGCGTCGGAAGAACGCTTCATCTTTTGACGCTAGCGATGAATCGACCCAATTTTTGGTATCTTCATATGATGTGAAATGCTGCTCAGCCAGGTCATGCGCCATCGATCGAAATAAGTGATAATCAGAAGGAACGATATCTGGTGAATACGGTGGATGGAGTAAAACTTCCCAATTAAGTGTTTCTAAGTAGGTTTTAACCGGCGCCACAACATGAGGACGAGCATTATCATGCATAAGAATAATTTTGTCGTGTCTGGAGTAATAATAGTCGCGTGTTTCCTTGAGTGCTCGGCTCAGTCTCATCAATTGAGTTCGGTAGAGAGCCCCAGTTATGATTTCATTTGGTTTGAGCAACTCATAATACATGACACCCAGTTGGTCCCACCAAATGCACAACATTAGTTTTTTTTCATGAATATTCTGTTTGGCTGTCGATGTTAAAGCATGGCCAGGTGGTCCCCATGATTTCTTCTTCTTTGGGTTATCGTAATGGATCCATTTCTCATCACCAACGACCACACGGTGCAAAAAACCTTTCTGTTCATGCCTGGAAAGCAGCATTTCACATGTGAACAATCGGCGTTCAATGTTTCTCGGCGTCAGTTCATATGGAACCCAATTTCCTTCTTTTTGAACCATTCCTAATGATTTTAAACGACGTGAGATCGCTTGTTGAGTCACTGATAATGCAAGTGCAAATTCTTCTTGCGTTTGGCATGAATCTTCATTCAATAATGCTTCCAATTCCGCGCCTTCGTACACTTTCAGCCTGTCACTACGTTCTTTGTCTTCGACATCAAATTCACCGTTCTTAAACTTTTTAATATCACTCACGACAACTTCTCTCACTTAATGCATACTTACTATATGCTTCTTCAAGTAATCGATGCGCCTCAGCTGCAGATTTCTTCAAATTAAAGAAGTAAATCAGAACTTCCCGCAAATGACGTTTCTTCGGCTCAAAACTCGACATTTTCGCACGAAAAAATATACGACGCTGATATACAAACGTTAATATTTCAATGTTATGTTGTCGACAGATGTGCAACCTTACGATATGACGTCTTACATATGACACTAGTCGCCATAACTTACTGGTTGCGTTATCTGATTTCAAACAGCGGACACTTATTTGTACTCGTAATATTATTTATATTACCGAATGTATTATTGTTTTTTACTCGTATTTAGGTTATCTTTTTCTTGCGTCTAGTCGGATTTTCTATAGTTTTGTCTCTTCCAGTATTATAAAATCTAAATCCGAATTCGCCTTACATACTTTTCGTGTACCTTTTCTAGTCTCTTCTTCTCTCCCTCCCTTCCTTTCTCTTCCTATTATCAGATTTCTGTCCTGTAAATTAAGATGCTTTTAAGTAATTTACTGAAAATCATAAGTCTTCTTTTGAAGTTGTTTCTGAATCTCCTTTGACTGATGCTCCATGTTAGTTTCATTGCTACCATTACTTTTAATGTCAGCTCTTTTATGTATCCTTCTTGGCTACTGCCCTTTTGAAATGTGTATTCCAGATATGTTTGATACTTCCTCTATTCTCGTTTCACCACATTTCCATATCTTTTTCGTTTTTTTGCACTCCCTTTCTGAAAGATTATGTTAGGTTTGATTACGCTTTTTATCATTTCCTTCGTCTCTTCCGGATTGTCTTCTAATATCGCTTCTCAGGTCTCTGAGCTAAAATTGAAGTGTATCTGTTATTATTAGTTTAATATATAATATATTTCCCATTGGGGTGTCAGAATATTATACCTTATTATAATATTAAGTAATACATATTAAATATGTTAAATAAATAAATTTTATTTATTTATTCTAGTCTTATCGGCATGAAGACAGGACTTGGTTCACATTTTTCTAATCTTATACTTATTCATTCGTTTACTCCATTCGTGGTCTCAATCCTCCTCTCGTGGTTGTTCCTGCAATCCTGTATAGACTTTACTTAAGGATATATTGGCTATACAGTCAATCCCAAAAGTTTATGCACTTTAGAAACGCATTTTTTAAAAAGAAATCAGACATCGGAAAAACATTGCTAATAA